TATGCGTCAAACGAATTCAAAACGTTACAATTTCATATCATTTTCATGATATGGTGCTTTCTTTTCATTTTGTGCACACGTTTCGGTTTGTATTTACAAACTTGGTAAGAAGGCTCACATCGTCTCCAGAGGCTGAGATATAAGCATTCCAGGCCAGTAAAGGGCTAAGGAGGAGGATAATACATATGTGAGTCACCTTACTAATATGCATGGAAAATGAGTGTAACAAGAACATGTCATGAGAAGGGTGACGTGTCACATGAGGAGGCGTTTACTTAGGATTTGTTAGGATTAGCTAGTTCAGTAGAGTACCATCATATTGTAAAGCGAAAAAATAATGAGCACGTATACCATATCGAGCTAATTAGGCAAGTAATTATGCTTTGGACACATATGCTGCGTTCGGAACTGCTCGTTCTGCTTGTCCAGACCAGTTGCACGAGATGTTTTGACCGTTCGGAACCTCTACTATCTCATCCAGGACAAATTGTCCATCTCGTCCATCTCACCCTCCTGCGAACCTGGGCGAGCAGGACGAGATGACGTCACGATAGATTTTGTATGTAAACATTGACAGTTGCAGGTAACCACAAGATATTGGTGGGTAATTTTATGACCCTTTATTGGTGTTATCAAAGGATATTTTTGTGTTTGTCAGTTGCAGGTAAGTTAAATATGCATAAAAGGAGTTACAAAACCTATGCAGCGTATAAATAAAGACACCGGTAAGATAAAAAAGTGAATATATACATTTAAGCGGGTTGCATTCTGGGCAGCGAGAGTCTTGGAGGTTCCGAACACAGCCCACTTGTCCTGCTGGTCCTGGACAAGGTGTCTAGATGAGCAGGACGAGCAGAGTAGTATGAGAAAGTGCATTAGACTCCAGGGGGATTACTTTGAAGGGGAAAACTCTTACTATGATGTTGGGTTTGAAATAAATCACTTGCGACATCCGTCCTTGAACTTTTCTGACACATCTCGTATATCCGAATATATATGTATATGTACAAATAATAATTTTACTTATATTCTTATCTATCATATTTTATTCTACTCAGTTTTTGTAACAACATCATACTACTGTTTTCCATGATCCAATTGTATTTAAATGTAGGCCTGTTTTTAATGATTTAATGTACCATTAAATCTTGTGGTAGCATAACCTAACGGTCTTTAAGGCTCGTGGGTGTGGGAATGAATTAATTCCTCTGTTGAGTGTGCCTATTATTATAATGGTCATAGAAACATTTGTGACCCTTAGTATTTTATTCAATAACCAAACGATGAACAAATGGCATATCATTCTGTAAATCTAGTAATACACATAATACTTAAAATAAGCAATAATCTCAAATAATTCAATTCATATCTAAGATTAATCCTGTACCCTCCCTTTTCCTATTGATTAGAAATCAAAATTATATTAATAAACAAAAAAACATACGTGAGACGATATCGAGACCCTCACATCCAGTCTAACCGTGTTCTTTCCATGATTTTACTTAGGCTATAAGCCGATTATTTCCCTTCCTTTCCTCTTTATAATTTTCTTCTCTTAAACTTCGCTCTAATAACTAATTCCATTCTCTATCTATTCATTGATACCCCTGGAATTGTCACCTGCGACTACTTCTATTACTGTATCTCCGGACCATTAAAAGAAGTAACAAATGTCCCCTATCAACAAGGCATTATGGCGTGCTCTCTCCAGTTTCTCCACCATTTCTCCTCTCTGTTATATGGAGGAAGGCCAGGACTCATCTGATTACCATGGATCAATACAAAGGGATTAAACTGTTATGTTAATATACATATCAAGTATTAAAATCTATTATATGAGGGTAAAATGTGATTTTATATACTAGCACTAAGCTTACCTGTTACATGGAGGAAGGCAAGGACTCGTCTAACGAGAAATTGTTAGAATAACGAACTTATTGCTTTCCCCAAATTAATTGCTTGCATTTAAACATACAAACCATTTATAAATTAGCATTATAATTTACCCTTATTTGTTGTAACACTAAATTTTGCTATATTGATATTCCTTTAGATTTATGAAAATATATAAAAAATGTTTCAGTGATGAATGTACAGAAACAGTGTATCTTTTTAAATGTCGAATAAATAATTATATCGATATATATATATATATATATATATATATATATATATATATATATATATATATATATGATACACACATATGCCTACATAAAGAGAGAGAAAGAGAGGGACTGTATATATGTATATATATGAATATATTTCCACCTTCACACAGTTCTGCATGAAAATTAATAGGATATTAGTAATGCAGTGGGCATTTTTCTCCAACAGGAGTCGCTGGCTCGTGAATACACTATACTAGAGAGCAAGAAAAGGAAAAGCCAAGAATTTGCCAGTCGTAGAGAGGTTTTCGAAGAAGCGTTACTCCTCTTGGTCCTGTGTCTGGAGTTCAACCCGCATGTGAATTCTCCCGACAACCCTGATGAGCGCTGGAGGACCGTCCTTGCGTGGGTATTGTCCGTTCATGGAAATGGTATCGCATCCGAGGGAAACAGAGACTGGATTCAAGATATTTTTGACAACATTGCAAGAATATTGCCAAAGGAAAATGTGGATAATGAGGCTATTAAACAAGCTGAGGAAACTGAGGAAAGCGACTACAAAGTGCTTTTGGAGTCGATAAGTAAAATACACCAGGCATATTGGAGAGAATTCAGTGAACTAAGTGCCGTATTTGGGGATGTCTCTTCAGGATCTTTACATGAAAATAACCTCGATCCACTACTGAAGTCGGCCATGATCAAGGCCTGTGAGAAAGATATGCCTCTCTTCTTACACCTGCTGACATGCGTGGCTGGTGCCAACGTTAGTGAGAAGATTGACGAAGTGTGTGGAGGATTCCCACTCCACTACGCAGCTCTTCACAACAATATGTCTGCAGCCAGGTACATTCTGAGCCAAGGAGCCTCACCGAGTGTGCAGGACCGCTTCGGCAACACACCTGCCCACTACGCGTACATGTTCGGGCACCAGGAGGTTGGGGACTTCCTTAAAACTGATATAAAGAACAACAATGGCCTTCCTGCTGAATCTAGGCTTAAAGGGTACAACCATTACCTGAAACTGTATAAACTGGACCCCAATAGCCTACAGAAAAGGAAAATGCAAAGAGACAATACTGCCTCTCAAATTATACAAGAACATCTGCAACATCTAAGGAGAAAGTGGATGGAAAATAGCATAAGTCAAGCTGTCCAAGAATGCCATGTAGATTTCAGAAGTGGTGAACCTTGTGCAATTAAAAAATCTGTTTCAGAGTTTATACAAAAGTTGATACTTTCAATTACTTCAGTAAATCCAATGTACAAAGGTGATTTGCACATGCTAGGGAGTTCAGGAGACAATGTTCGATTATTTTGCCCGGATGAGTTTGACTTTAATATCATCATACAAAATATGAACATACATTTTCCTGTGACATGGAAAGGAGACTTAAGAGATGGATCTGTGAAATTAGATAAAGCTTTAAATGACCTATTGCTGGACCATTTCTATTGCACAGTGAGGCAGAGTCTTGTGAACTGTGAGCCTGAAGACAGGCGACTGGCCATTGTTCTGCCGGGAGTGAAGAAGACTCAGGTGGGCGTATCGCTCAGCCTCGTCTGGACAGGTAAGGTGTTCCCTCTGCTCCTGGTGGATGTTGATGTTGTGGCCACTGCTAGAGCCAGTTGGCCACCTGCACTCAGGAGGCCAAAGCTCACACCCTCCACCCTTGACTCTGTGTATTTGAATAGCATTGGCAACAACGAATGGAGGTTCTCTTTCGCACTGGCAGAAAATGCAGTCATGAAAAGTCTGACGGCTGACAAGCGCAGGGTATTTCTGGCCTGCAAGATGGTGCTCAGTGCCCTGAAGGTGGAGAAGTGGGCACCGAGACACGTCCGGAACCAGTTCAAATATTTCCATGGAAGATTCTTCAAGATTCCCTCGCCAAAGGGCTTCCTCCTCAAGAATACCTTCTTCCTGGAGCTGGAGGAGGTGACAGATGAGGAGCAGTGGACGGAGGAGCACTTAGTGGAGAGGATGACCTCGGTATTCCGGAGGATGTGCGAGGAACACACTGACCCCGCCTCGCAGGAGACTTCCTGGGAACCGGCAGCGGTCAAGGCGTACTTCGCTGACCTGACAGAGAGTCCATGTGTTGGGTTTGGAGTGCCAGAAATTCTCAACTTTTTGAAGTCACTAGATTCTCAACTAAACCAATTTCAACTTCAAAGCAACAGGAAGAGACGCAGAAGCCCATGCGAATACAATTCAAGGAAGAGATATAAGAAAACCAAGCATCTGCAATAATAGTTTCTCCTATAATTCTAAACCTAGTGTAACTTCATATCTAAATCAGGTTCACATCTGAATACAGGACTGTTTAAGCCTTGCTGATAATGGTATATGAATATCACTGCACCAATAAGTTCTTTCACCTGTACAAGCGGCATTGCTCTGACATTGCTTGTCAGAGGGACCCAAAAACAAATATTCCATAGTCCTGCATAAGCAACAAATAGGCAGTTATAGGGCACCTTTGCCGTCGCGGCAAAGAAGCCTATTCATTTCTTCTATCTAACTCCTGTTTGCCTGATGGGCACTTATAGTCCCACGCTACCTGAAGGGAACCCAATTCCCGCCTTGAAATAGGTAATAAATGCGTGTCTTTATTTTGAAAACATAGGATACATAAGTGTGCCATAATGAACAACATATCTAAAATTCACAAGAAAATTCCAACGTCTTCCATAGTCGGTACAGGAAGGGTTAAGCGACGAAAGGCAATGGCATAATAGCTGGTTCCCTGTGCTTGAGGGACCAGAAGAAAGTGACGTTATCCTGCCTCTCCTGGAATGGATTACTTCACATAAAATAATTGTAATAACATGGACTGAGATATTAGGGGATAAATGATGTGTAAAAACCAAAACAATATTGGACCATCCTGT